TAGCTTCAGTTTTCATTGCTTAACGGTTTCCATGTCTTTTCTCCCTAATTAATTTGTAAAACTCTTTAAGGGTAGGGATGTTTGTGTTCTTATTATCTGCCAATCTCCCTAGCACGAAGGTATGAAAATAGTTAGCAATCAGTAGACACTTGTTTAATGAATGAATGCAAAATGCCTCTCTATGCTTCTTGCAAGATTAGCATGAAAGCTACTCAGTTGTGCTGGTAACTTGTGGTATTCCAGAGCAGCAACTTCTGTATGCGAGGCAGTTTTCCCGAACCTAATAAATCTGTTTCCATCTTTAAGTTCTTAGTGAAATTCTAGATTATGAAATATAAGCTGAGCACATGAGATTTATAATGTTAGAATATGACTTTAATGTAAACTTGGGCACCATTGGGATAAACACAAAGTAGTGCATATTCATTGAATTAATACTCATTTTCTGAAAGTTCCTTACCAACAGAAAACTCAGTAACTTCTAAACAAAATTAAAATCATTCTAAGAATAAATTCAGAGAAAAAACGGTAAGTATGCAGCAGTGCAGAGGCTTTATTTTATAAATCAGAAATATATTTTAGCTTATAATATTCTGCAGAAAGAATATGGATTTTGGAACTCATCAAGACCTGGGTTGGCAACTCCGTTCTGCTGCTTACCCGCCATGCCATCTTGGATCAGTCACTCAATGCCTTTGAATTCTAAAATTCTCACAAGGCAAATGAAAATATCAATATCCAATTCACTTGAAAAACCTGAGATGAATGAACCCCTTTTGAGCTGTTAATGAGGTCAATGACTTTAAGGGCACCCGGTGGCACCTACCCCCACACCTGGCACGTTAAATAAATGATAGCTACGATTATCATTTTTGTTTTGAAAGCTTTTCTTTTTGACTCCTTACTTCCTATTGTTTATGGAGGAAAATGGCTTCCCTAATAGTTAAAGAGTATGAGTATAGGAATCTAAAACATCTGGGTTTAACTTGGGGCACTACCATTTACTAGTTGACTAATCTATTTATTAAAGGATCTGAGCCCCAATTGTATAAGTGGGTGTATGAAGAAAACAAAATCTTGCAGGGACATTTTGAAGACTCAAAGTGAAAACAAAGTGTGTAGCACAGAACAAGCACTCTGTTACAGTAGATATTATAATTCTTATGAGTCTTCTCTCAGGTACTATCCTGTTCTGTATTAAAGAACCCATGTTCATTAATATTTTTTAAGTAAAAGTAGGAAAATTTTCCTCCATTATATTTCACTACTTTGCAGACAAACATAATTTGATATTATAAATATTATTCTTATAAATAATATTTGTATAATGATTTATAGTGTACAAAATACCTTTATAACTTAAGACTGTGCTCTAAAAATGTTCCCCAAATTAGTCACTCTTTGCTGTGATTACTCCAATCATTATTCTGGCAACCCATTCCACCATCAAGATGTTCAACAGTGAACAATAATGATAAACTTCAAATAGTAAGGCGCTACTTAAAAAAAAGTTAAGTGTGTTATTGTCACAGGCCTATGTTTTTAGAAATATTTGGCAGTTAAAATTGGTTAGATGAAACTGAGCGACTGGTCACAGATTCTCCATCTCAGCAGTGGAGGCCTTCTCCAGGCAGGCTTTAACAAAAGACCCTTAACAGAAGTGGTTTCTTAATTTCTCTTTGACTTCTTGAATATTGTTTAAAATATCAGTTAGGTTGCCTATTGTCGCTGAGGTTAAAATACAATTTAAAAAAATCTGGTAGGTGGTTTCTAGAACTTACCATGTCAACAAATGAAAAGAAGAAATATGGGTAACTTTCTTACATCATGGATTAGATCAGATGCTGAGATTAATGACTTATTATCTAAACTCAGTAGGAATGCAATTAAATGCGAAAGAATGGAAAGCACCCTACAGTTCATAAGACTAAGCTGTTTCTACTAGCACAGTAACTTAACTGAAGCACATGCTTAAAACTCATCAAATACATTACTTCCCTTAACATTTACAGGGTCAAAACCAGACATCAGCCACAACTTGAAGTGCCATTAGTTGCTCTGAAAAACTTTTGGACAGATCGCTTCAAGAAGCAGCACGCTGGTTCCCACGAAGGCCCCTGGGGTGTTTCATGTACACACGCACCTTGAGAACCAAGTGGTTAAGGACAGCATTACTCTTAATCCTTCAGATGAGTAGCCTGCCAAACAACCATTCTTTACACAAGTATACAGCTCCTTATGCAACAGTCCTCATTTCCACTGTTTTATCCTCTATTCAGTCCTTGGTTTAGTGATTCTGGCCATTATATCTACACTTTAAAACATGATGTGACATATTATATGTGTAAGCGCCACTTAGTAACTGATAAGTGCACAGCATTGGATTGGCATGAGTACTAGAGCAGTCTTTTCTAGATCTGCTTCCAAAATCCCTCCATAGGCATGGTGGCATTTGCTTGTTTTTGGCCTCTGCTTTCTTTCATTGCCTCTACCTTCCTCCTATTACCTGCTATGCATATCAAATGACTTGGGGGGCTTCTAAACTGTTTCGGTGTCTATTTTTACCAGACCCATTAACTAGAACTTATGTTTATAGTATCAACGATAATTTCAAAGCCATTTTACAAACGAAATATTTTGATCTTCATAAGGTGACACGAGATGAGGAAACAGGCATGAAGAGGTTATCTGATGTGGCTGAATCACTTGACATGAGTGTCCGAAGAGAGTACCTCCCTCCTGACTCTGAATTTGGGCTCACTTCGTCCCCGTTACTACTTCATCATTTGTTGGTCTTTGGATTAGACTTGTGTTAGAAATTCCTTCTCACCAGTTGTGTGATTTTTAAATATATTGGTTAAACCTTGAATTTTAGCTTCCTTGTTGGTAAATGGGGGGATAACAATACCTACTTCACAGGGTTACCTTGATGATTAAATGAAATGGTATATGTAAAGTAAAAAACCTGGAATAAGGTAAGTGTTCAAAAATGTTAGTCCTTCCAATCCCCTCTTGGGGAGTCTTCACCTAGAGGTAGTTCCCTTAGGTCTATAGAGGATCTCTGAAGTTACTCTGTAATCCAGTGGTGGGCCAGGAGAGCTGAGTATATTAATGTTATCACTTGGGTGACAACAGTTCATTGAACCAAGGATTTATCAGTCATCTACTATACCCCAGCACAGTGCTAAGGACTACAGATGCACAAAAGAAGTAGCAGCAGCCAAGGAATTTTGGCAGTGACAAGAACCAGACTTCATTTCCTAGAAAATAAAGATACTCCAAGAGGGGCTAGTCTGCCAAGTTCAACAGGGCTTTTTTAAAATTCTCCCAATTAATTTCAGATAGAATACAATGATTTAAAAGCTTGTACATGTTAGAGTTGACTCTTGAATGGCACATTCGGCCAAACCCCAAAGTGTTATTTTTGTAGGCAGTGGTACTGTGTCCAGACCATATTATGACATGGGGTGAGGAAGGGAGCATGGAAGAGCCGGTCTCAAAGGGACCTAGGAAAGAAAGGTTTAAAAACGTGCGAGGTGTTTCTGCTTTGTGTTTCCATGACTTTAGTCACCTAGATTATAAAACACTCTAGGGCAAAACTACCCATTTGGTATTTTCTCTATCCTTCTTCAGTGCCTGGGAACAGAAATATTTGTTGAGCTGAATTTTGGCCTCCGAGTCAAACCAAACAGACAAACAAACAAACAAACAAAAAAAGGTAATTATGATTCCACCGCATTTGGATTAGCCCATAAGAAAAGTTTTTACAGCTAACTAAAACATTGCACGTTGAAAAGATTTTCCAAGGTCAAATCTAGTGAAATCTCAGCATAATTTGGTTTAAGCTATACATTTCATCGTTAGCAACAGTAAATGGTGTGTGAGGCAATGTGCAGTGTGAAACAACCCAGCGTTTAAGGTCAGACAACTTGACTCTCATTCTGCCTCTTCGTGTGATTTTGGGCAATGACCTGACCTCTCAGGGTCACAGATTTATTCTTTTTAGAATGGGAATAATGCGATCTATCTTATGACATTATTGAAAAACTTAACTGAGATGGACTATTACATGTATACACTAATTAATAGGTAACAATTTTTGAGCATTCAATAAGCATTAGACTATGCTAAGCACTTTTTATTTAACTAATTTAAACTTTACCATAACTCAAGGGGATGGATGTATTAATTCTTCCCATTTTAGAGATAAGGAAATTGAGGCACAGAAAGTTTTTGTAAGAACCTTGCCACAGTCAGTTACTAGCTGGCTGAACAGGAACTCAAACTCAGCCTCTGGCAGGCTAGCTGCAGATCTGTGTTCTTAACCATCTTGCTTTGTCGCCTTGCTCTCTCAGAGCAGCTCGTTACATGCCCACTTCTCCTCACCCTGGATTCTGGTATAAAAAATGCAACAGATCCCACCTTTCCAGAAATAGCTAGTTACCCTGAGGACACAGGGCACATGCATAAGGAGAGACAAAGTCATACACAACACAAGTTGTCAAATGTCAGAGTGGGGTATAACCACAAGTTCTATGGCAGTCTGGAAGGAAGGACATAATTGGGATGGAAAATCGGCACAATTTTGTAATGTAGGTGGAACTTGACTTAGGTCTTGGAGGAAAAGCAGAATTAAAACCAGGAAGGAGGATTTGGGAAAGTTGTTTCAGATAGGACAACAAGGACAAAGGCTCTCTGTGTTCAGGAAATAAGGCTCGGCGTCAGCGGGGAAGGTTTCTATATGGGAACACTGAGACTGAGGAACAAGAGGCACTTTAAACTCATTTTTTTAGAATGTTTGAGAAGCCCAGAGAGGAGGGAGGACCCTCTATGGGAGAACCACCTGGGGTTTCTGAGAGGCGGTGTATCTGTGTGCATGGGTGCCATGTCATGCCGAGCAGTGCTTTCCAAAGGCTGATGAGATGGCAGATGTATAACCCATGGGGTGGGAGGACCGAAAGTTGGATAACCGAAAGCACGTTAGTGTTCAGTACACATACCTACATTCAGACACTTCTCAATGATCAGGCGATGATTATCTGGTTGGTGGATATTCCATGGCCTCTTCTCAACCTACCTCCCGTCCTTTCGGCTTGTTTCCTGCTTGTTAGTACCTGGGGGTGGAGACGGAGACAAAGCGATTTTCCAGTGAGTCTTTTATTTTGTTTTAATCATTATTTTTTTGCTGCTCCTTAGCAGCTGTAGTTAAAAATGTGTTATGGGCAGAAGAAGAAGTATGTCTTGGATGATCAGAACATTTTCTTCTTTCTTTCTCTTTTTAAATGGTACTTCCAGAGTGCCTTTATTAAACAATTTGCTGATGAAGAGCAGAGCTCACATTTGAGCCTAACCCTGGAATATGCAACTGTTAATTCCCTTTGATTAGAAATGGACTTGTAAATTGGGGGCTACCCACATGCACTTTCAGATAATGTTCCTGCAGCAGAAAATTGTTTCTGATCTGGCTGTTGAAGTTTTTAGGTGAGAGAGGTTAAATGTACTCTACTTAAAGATGCCCACATTGTGCATTTCAGACTACCTTTTATAGCCGTATGATGATTATCCACACAAATCATTTTTACCTTTGCTACTACTTGAATATATTAAGTACTTGCTGCTTCTTCCTAAGTTGAATATAGAACACTAGGAGACCTGAGTAATTCTTTAGCTGCGAGTACATGTTTGGCTCTAAAACTAAAGTGCTGTATTAGAGAGGTTAAAAAAGAAAGAAAGAAAAAGATGAGAAAATGAAACAGACTGCAATGAAACAGGTTTGCAATGCCAAACTCTTTTTTTTTTAAAGTAATATTTCATTGTTTTTTCCAGGCTATTATTAAGAGTGTATATGACATCTAAATAGATTGCAGGAGCCCAGTCCCAATACATCATTATCACTAATATATATTTAATAGTAGACATAAAGATTGTTCTGGTCCAAAATGGCAATATGCATCTTTTACACATACACACTTTTTTTTTTTTTAAGTTTTGCTCTTTCTTTCTTCCTTTTTTTTTTTTTTAAAGATTTATTTATTTATTTTAGAGACAGAGCAAGAGAGGTGCCTGGGTGGCTTAGTCGGCTAAGTGTCTGCCTTTGGCTCAGGTCATGATCTCAGGGTCCTGGGATCAAGCCCCACATCAGGCTCTCTGCTCAGTGGGGAGCCCACTTCTCCCTCTCCCTCTATTGCTCCCTGTGCTTGTGCATGCTCTCTCTCTGTCAAATAAAATCTTGAAAAAAAAGAGAGAGTGAGAGCAAGAGCATGTGGGGGGAGGGGCAGAGGGAGGAGAGGGAACCCAAGAAGACTCCACACTGAGCACAGAGCCTGACGTGGGGCTTGATCCCAGGACCCTGAACTCATGACCTGAGTCGAGATCAAGAGTCAGACACTTAACCGACTATGCCACCCAGGCACCCCCCCACACACCTTTTTCAAGAAAAAGAAAAGACTTTAAAATTGTATATACTTGGCTAATAGCCAGCTACCAATCTCTTGTATCTCTTCTCTGATTAACACACTTTCATACATTATTTCCAGTTCTTCCACTTGAATCGTTGTCCATTCTCCACCTCACTATCCCAATACTGCCCAAACAGTTCCAGAGAAACCAGAGAACTAGTAGAAAAAAAGTACATTTGGTTATTTCAGGACATGGCACACATTGGTAGTGTCTACTTATTAGCCAGAAAACTGGATCCATTGCTTGTGAGAACTCCTCGCATGCTCAGAGACTGCTGACCTCAACATAAGACAAAGCAAAATGAAGCCTCAACCACTCTGCTTCTCAATTTGTTTGAGAAGCTAGAATTACTTCTAAAGTTCCCAAATAAACAGAAATCATTATAATTATGAATAATTAAAATGCTAAACTCAAGAGGGCACTCAACATTCATTACTTTGCAGAACTCATCCCCTAAGGGTAGTACCTTCAATTAGTTCAGTTTTTACAACAGAAGAAAAATGAGACAATCAGTAATTGCAGGTATTTAGCGCAAGGAACAAAACAAGCTAACTTGCCTTTAAATCAATCTTTCTCAGCCAGCAGAGGCACTGCTCTCTTTTGGATTTTTAATGTTTATACTAATTCCAGGATACAGAAAAGCAATAGATGGCAGGATAGCACAAAAATGTACCGGCCTCAAAGTGCTAAGGAGAAGCACTTCAGCTTTATTCACTATTTGGAATAGGTTAAAGTAGAAGGTATCATATAACAATAAATAGTTTTAAAAGAGAATCTTTTAAAAGATATTTTATAAAATTTATCGATATATTTACTCAACCTACAAATGTTTATTAAGCACTTAACCATGCATCATGGTTTATGCTAAGTGATAGTTACACTGCAGAACAAAAACTAGCCGGTGGTTATTTTTTTAAACATATATAAATTACCATACAGAAATCTGAACACAGCAATATATTTTTATATTCTTACAAATATAAAGTTTGGAGTATATAGCTACTATATAGAAAATGAAGCTATCCAAAGCGTTATTTCTCATTATTCTTGAAGTTGTAATAAATTATTTTAATTTAAAAAATTAAATCACAAATTATTCAGATTTTTCTTCCTCAGAGCCTCCTCTATAAAAAGTATAATTTTTTTCTTACAAAATATATCCATTTTTTTTTGCAGTAATAAATGCTATTACAATGATTAGGGTTTTTCTTAGATGTTTATAGAACTAAAATATATGTCATGTTGGAAATGGTTTAGCAAAGAGTAGCTACAGTTTTGTATCTAAGAGACTGGAGCAAAGCAGATTTTTTTTTGCCTGAGTCAATTTCAAATTGACAACAATGACCCAAGAAAGGGTTGTCTTTTACTAGCTGCCACTTTGGGGAGATACATTTTGTCTTTCATTTAAGTAGAGGAAAGAATTCATTAGAAATGTGGTGCAAATAGATTCAGAATGATAAATCTCAAGTTACCAATTCCACTTTTAATGATTAGTTGCCTGAGTCTTGTATTTAATTAAAATGGTTATTTTAAATGCTTATATTTAATTTACACATAATTAGCTAAACCTCAATGATACTGCTTCATCCATTTTGAAATTAATTAATTTATAAAATAGCTCAAAAAGTGCTGTAAAATTTTAATATTAAGATAAATCAGGATTCCTCTGCATCTTGTGCTGGTTTCAGTTGTAACTCACAATGAGCCGCTGGTAGTAGGCATGACTGCAGGGTATCTAGAATGGCTAATATGTAGTAGAACCCAATACTGATATGTCATTGACGTTTCCTTTGTTACATATGATATGTATTGTAACCTCGTAGGTACTAACAGTCTGTATCACCAAGGATATGATTGTTTTAACTTTAAAGGGATCTAAACTTTATAAACTAATTTTGGCTTTAATACATTTAGGAGAAACCACTGTTTTTAGCAAATGATTCGTAAGTGTGTAACAACTGGTGTTAAAAAAAAGCCTTCGAGTCCGTGTGATAATGGAACTAGAACGTGTTTTCAAGGAAATGTTCTGACTTTAACCTCTCTTTATTTTATTTATTTATTTTTAAAGATTTTATTTATTTATTTGACAGAGAGAGAGAGACAGCGAGAGAGGGAACACAAGCAGGGGGAGTGGGAGAGGGAGAAGCAGGCTCTCCGTGGAGCAGGGAGCCCGATGTGGGGCTCGATCCCAGGACTCTGGGATCATGACCTGAGCTGAAGGCAGACGCTTAACGACTGAGCCACCCAGGCGCCCCTCTGTGATGTCACATTACAAAAAGTAGTCCAGATATATATTTTGTAAAATATGTTTATATAAAAAAATACATATACAAACACACAGCCTAGTGAAATTCCTTCTCAAACTCATTTCTTTTTTTTTTTTTTTAAAGATTTTATTTATTTATTTGACAGAGAGAGACACAGCGAGAGAGGGAACACAAGCAGGGGGAGTGGGAGAGGGAGAAGCAGGCTCTCCGTGGAGCAGGGAGCCCGATGCGGGGCTCGATCCCAGGACTCTGGGATCATGACCTGAGCTGAAGGCAGACGCTTAACGACTGAGCCACCCAGGTGCCCCTTTAACTTCTCTTTAAACACACAACATTGTTTATATACCTAGGAACCATGAGGGAGCAGGTTTGGGAACTTTAGAAATAATTCTAGCTTCTCAAACATATTCGCTTACAGAATATGAGGAAATTCTAACCACCCACACTAACCATTGTTTCCTGGTACAGTGAAGAACTACGTCCATGAATATCCTATTCCTCTGTGTGCTGTGCTAAGCTGTGCAAATTTGTCTATTAATGATAGTGCTACCATTTATTAGTTACTAAATATGTGTTAGCACTGACCTAAATGCCTCATGAGCTGGTATCATTAGGCCCATTTTATAGGTGAACAAAGTGAGGCCAAGGGAGTCGAAGGCACCTGCCAAGGGCCACGTAATTAGTAGTGATGGGGTGGGTGCAAAACCTCACTCTATAGCTCTGCACCTCACTGTCCCAGCTCGCCAACTAAGAGCTCTAAAGGAGGCATTTTCAGTTGTGAGATGCTTACAACCACCACCACTACCAGAACAAAATACCTCTCCCTTGCAATAGTAGTGTGAATTAATTAAAAGATGAAGGCAACACATTTGGCTCAGCTATTAGGAATTAAAATCTATTGCTCCCAGTATTAGTCATCTCTTACATCCATATACACAGAAGTTTCTAGTATTTTATTAAAACCTGGTCTGGGCCTCCTACTCTCCAATGAACCCTTCTAGTGGGGGAATCTGTTCCTGCCATTCTCTGATATTAGCTCAAACCTTTTGCATCCCCTCCCACCCTTGAGGAATTTTAATTCTGAGCAGGCTCAGCTTACACATGAAATGAAGTTACATAGAATGTTTCTCTTCTTTTCACACTAGTACAATTATGTGGCATTCCAGGATGCCTTGAGCTGTACCGTATCTCAATTACCTCAACTGCCATCTGTTTCTACTTCTTTCAGCCCTTCTCCCTGGTACCCTAAACAATGAATGATATTCCCACTCCAGAGCCAGACTTAGTGCATTCTCTGCCAAGGATGTGCGTAACATATACAGATATCCCTCCTATTTCAATAAGACGATATGAGGTTTGATCAAAGCCAATTATCTATTGATTTTCAG